TTGTAACAGCCCCGATTACAAGCCTCTGATAATAACGCAATTCGACCGTAAAAGAATCCTTTCTCGGGAAACAAACCATACATACAACACTTCTACACCTAAAAAAAAAATATCAATGTCAACTTCAACTTCCTCCAACTCACTTCAGGAAGAGGTTGGCCGGGTCTGCAATGGATGCCGCCCACTTCCACCTGCGAGGGGAGAAGCGGAAGTGGTGGACCTAAGCTGAAGTGTGAGTTCACGAGGACGAGGCTCTGATTACGTTCAAGGTCTAGCAGAGGAGGAAGCTCGGGGAACAGCGCCGAGATCTGGCCAACGCCGGGAGGGAGAAAGGAAGCTATTATAGTTCTTCTTCTTCTTATTATTTTTCTTCTTCTTCTCATTACTGTTATTAATATTACTCTTACTACTGTTGTTATTATTATTATTGATATTATTATCATTGTTATTATTATCAGCATTGCTTTTGTTATAACTTTTCTCAGTATTATGGTTGATTGTGAAGTATATTACTTAGGTCGAGTTTTTATGAAGTGTGATAACATGATTAACTGAAGTAGGGAGGAGAGAGAGAGAGAGAGAGAGAGAGAGAGAGAGAGAGAGAGAGAGAGAGAGAGAGAGAGAGAGAGAGAGAGAGAGAGAGAGAGAATGAGAGAGAGAGAATGAGAGGAGAGAAAGAGATAGGGAGAGAGAGAGAGAGAGAGAGAGAGAGAGAGAGAGAGAGAGAGAGAGAGAGAGAGAGAGAGAGAGAAGAGAGAGAAGAGAAGAAGAAAGAGAGAGAGAGAAAGAAAGAAAGAAAGAGAGAAGGAGAGAGAGAGAGAAAAAGAAATAGAAAGAGAAAGAAAGAGAAAGAGAGCGAGGACAGAAACTAACTGTGATCCATAAACCACACATTAACGAAACACGACAACATACCTCCCTTTGAACAGCAGGCACCACAGTCCAATACTTCCGATACCAGAGGCGGAAACAGTGTGCAAACGTGCTCTGGAAAAGTTTAAGGGCGTCAAGAGGCTGAAGAAGAGGCTCTATCTCAAAGGCAGGATTTAAAACGTTTCCGAGCGTAGCACTCTGTTGTGAGTCGAGCCCAGCCGTCGAGAGGAAGATAAAAGGCACCTCGTGAAGGAATGGATAAACTACCTGTTGGGAAAAAGGGAAACAAGACTATTGGATACGATTTCATAGAGACCTTACTGTATTATAAATGAGACATATTCATATAAGTCTGTTCTATCCATTTCATGAAATTTATCATTCTGATGTGAAGTGTATAATACCATAATGCCGACAAATGATAATAATGTTTGAAATTATAACAGTAATGATGATGACGATGATGATGATAATGATATCATATTATTGATCATCATCATCGTTAACAATGACAATAATAGAAAAACAAAATGAAAATACTTATTTCATCAAAATATTACCACAACTTAACCCCCCCCCCCCCCCCCACACACACACACAAGTAGACACGCACATAAAAGTTACACTCCATCCTTTATTACCTCACTTAGCATCTGATGAACAACAATAAGATCGAATTTCTTCCTCATCTCATAGAGCGCCTTCACCTCATCGAGCTGATAGAATTCTCTGGTGAAAGAGGCAAGCTTATCGCGGGAAACTAAGTCTAAGACGCCATCAGGGGATTCGAACGCGTCCAGTTGATCATGGCGAAAGTGGTCGAGTCCGTGAGATAGTTGAAAGACGTTGAAGTTTTTCCTTTCCGGTTTTTGGTTGAGTAGCATCACTATCTGCAGAAGAGGTATTGCATTTGGCTGATAGATAGGTGGGTGGATGGAGAGATAGATTGTCGATTAGGACTGATAGATAGGTGGATGGATGGATAGATACATTGCTGATTAAAGCTGATAGAAAGGTGGACAGATGGATAGATAGATTGTCGATTAGGACTGATAGATAGGTGGGTGGATGGATAGATACATTGCTTATTAAAGCTGATAGAAAGGTGGACTGATGGGTAGATATATTTTACGTTAAGGCTGATAGATAGGTGGATGGGTGGATAGATAGATTGCTGATTAAAGCTGATAGAAAGGTGGACTGATGGATAGATTGATGTTGCATTAAGGCTGATAGATAGGAGGGTAGTTAGATTGCTGAGTAAAGTTGATAGATAGGTGGGTGGATGGACAGACAGATTGTTGATTAAAGCTGATAGATGGATAGATAGATTGTTGATAAGGCTGATAGATAGGTGGGTGGATGGATCGATAGATTGCTGATTAGGGCTTATAGATAGATAGATATGTTAATTGAATAGGGCTGATAAACAGACTGGTAGAGAGATTGCTGATTAATGCTGATCGATCGATAGATTGCTGATCAGGGTTAATAGATAGATAGATAGATAGGTTGCTGAACAGGGCTAATATATAGACCAGGCGAATAGATAGATTGCTGATTATAGATAGAAATATTGCTCATTAGAGCTGATAGATAGAGTGATAGTTAGCACTAATAGACGGTA